CGGAAAGACACCTGAAACAATAGGAAAAAATCTGCTTAAAAAAGCCAACCAGGCCAGTCACCAGAAAGTCACCAATAGCATACAAGCCCCTGGGCCAAGCCTCCTTTCGTGAGGGAAAAACACATCCTTTTGGCCAGCCGCCACCCATGAGCAAAAACCCGGCAGCTCTCAGGCTTGGTCTGGGGAGCGCCAAGATGCAGTCAGTCACTCCCCCTGCCCAGCCTCCAAACTCACTGGGATCTCCCCAGGCTGGCAGCCACAGGAGAAGTGACAGCTCCCAACAGTTACACGGCAAGTCAAGCTGCAGGTGGAGGCAAGGGAGAAGTCTCAGGAAGCACCTCAGGGGTGTGTGACCAACAGTGGATAACGTGAGCAGCTCTCCCCCTCCACCACCACCGAAACGGCTGCAGGCAGGGAGGGCAACGTCTCTTCTGCCCTGCCTACTCACAGCTTGCTGCTGGACTCTGCAGCCCCACTCGGTCCCCAGTCCAGAAGCAGCCATTATCACCTCCTCCAGGTGCAACCGCCAGGTGAGCCCCCATCAGCTCTGTCCCACCCACGGCAGGTGGGCCACAAGCCTCTGTGCACCAAGCTTATAAAGTCATCCTCTCAACTCAAGAGTTCAAATGGACATATATTTCTGTAGACCACACATGGATTCACGACCTAACATTTATACGAGCTACTCTTTCCTCCTACAGGTTTCTCAAAGCCTCTGGAGCTTTCAAGAAGAGCTGAGAGTTGAGAGAGAAAAGCAGATGGGAGAAAGAAGTTAGCAAGTCAGCTAGCACTAATGAATGCTTAAGACTGAACAGAATTAAAAATCTTTATAATAGTATCAAAAATGTTCAGCTGCAAAAAGCTCATCTTCGAGTTACATTGCAAACTGCTTAAAAAAAAACTTGGTCGCACAGCCAATCCTATTTTTGTCAGAAAGGAACCTGAGGATAGAGCTGCAAATCATTCTCTTATGGTGGTATTCTCCCTTCAGGTTAAAGGGTCTCCAATACAGCCAAGTCAAAGACATCCCAAAAGTAAATGCTCCTTGATCATCAAGTGAAATATTTATTCTAAGGTGTCCAGTACTCTCTGAAGTAGAATGGAGCATTTCACCTTAAGAGGTTATAAATCTCACCCCGTATCTTTTGATAGAAATGAACAATTCTACAAGCCACTTAATAATTAAGCTAACATTATCTTTAGTTTTATTTGAAAGACCATCACTTTTCAAAGGATTAACGCCATTTGTAAAGGATAGGGCAATTTCAATACTTTTGTATTTGCTAAAACAGATACAGCTCCCAATAATACTCGATTTAAGAGAGGCAGCCTTTAACCCACACAGCTAGTACAAGATCACTATTAAATTCCTACCCGTAGTCTCAGTTTTACAAATATATAAATTCACAGCACTGATCCTTTAGTTTAGAAAGTTTTTAATTCCGTACTAAATCCATTAATTTGAATCAATTTAAAATGAGATCATCAGAACTCTCACAGCACTGGTAAGATTTAAGTAACAACACTATAGATATCCTCCACATAACTGAAGACAACTGTGTACGTTGTTTGCGTATGAAGATACTAAACAGTTAAAGTTGCTACTTGCTATTTGTTAGAGGTCAATAGCTAACAGCCATCAATAGCTTAGGGTCCCAACAGAGAACATAAAGTGGAGCCATATGCTTGTAGGAATCAGTTCTTCTCTCTCCTCCAGTTAAGAGAGCATGCTAGAGATTTAGTGTTACTCTGACAATGTTACGTTATAGCACTACATAAAATCAAAGCAAGAATTCTTCTACTGCCATATTAAATGCCCTAGCACTGCTCCTAGACACTGTCAGTGCGTTAGGATGGCTAAGGCTTGGCCTCCCCAGTTATTTTGCTTCAGGAAAACTAGACATGACCTTCCAGGAGGAAATATTATCAATACCAAATTCAAGATGTATGGGAATCAATAATTAGAAAATTAAGGATCTCCTAATACGGTTCTAGATTACAAAAAAAACCCCCACCAAACCAGGCCTCACTGACATCTGTTCAGTTTGATGTGCATCTAAAGAAATTAAACCATAGCTACTGCTAAGGTACACATCAACAACTTTCACTTTACTGTCTCCAGCAGAGACTTTTACAGCACTGAAGTCAGAGGTTCAGTGATTCTTGAAAACAAGAGCTTTATGACCTCAGCTACCTCACATTGTCTCCTTTTCATTACTAAGGATCTCACCAGAGTTAAATTAACTTCCTTACTCTCTAAATATTCAAAAATAGAAATATTTTATGGCTATACGCACACTTTCAGAAAGTCTAGATGATTTCTCTTGTGGGGGGCCATTAAGATATCCAGGTAAGAGGGAGGACTAAAAAGAAAGCATGCTGTTTCCCATTATCAAGTCAGTCAAAATTTGGTTTTATGTTAAAATTAGAAAACAAAGCAATGTATTTTTATGACATTTATAATGTTTTGTAGCTTGAACTATTTATTTTTAAAAATCTATTAATATAAGCCATTTCATTTGCATAGGACTCAAGGATGTGTATTCTCCGAGTATCAACAGAGCAAGTATTAAATATGGAACTTAAACCTTCATTCATGCTTACCTCAGATGTAGCATTTAAAAACAATTCCGGAGCCTTCTGGTTTTGTTAATTTTTTTCTTTGTAAAAAGTTCTTAAAAAAAGAACATAAATACATAAATATACAGACACACACACACACTGTAGTGAAACCAAACACAACTAAAAGGTAAAGTCAGTCATATTTTCATGCCATGTACCTTATCTGGGAGGAAAAAAAGTTACACTCATTTTCCCAGCAGGATTTGTGTAGACCACCTTATCTGTGTGTTTAGCCTCCCTGCAAAAATACCAGTTGCTCAACTGGGATGCATTTGTTTGAGACGCCTTTTATTTGATATAGTAGCTAGAAGGAAGAGCAGTCAGCACTGTGTGACCAAGAAGCTTTCCACTAACTTGAGATGGGAAGTGCTAGAGAAGCACGTAATAGTAAGAGTATGCCAAGACAGAGAGTGCTATCAGTTTCAAAATAAATTAACATAGAATAGGAGAAATGGACAGCCTCTGATAAAGTATCCTCAAGCCCACAGTGTTTTTCCACTAGAAAAATGTACCAATTACCTCCTGGGAAATAAATTCTTCCTTAGGATTTCTAACTTGGGAAGGTTCTTGATCAGGGCTTGTTACACCCTTTTTCAGATGCATTTGATATTTATGTAGACAAGATGCTGGACTACAGTCACCACTCATCTGCTTAAACCAGTTTCTACAATAAAAAGCAAGATGGGGAGTAAGTCTGTTACATCAATCATACCCTAAATGCTAAATGTATTATTAAACACATTTAGATATCTTTCCATTCAGGTTCTGAGCGCAAAGTCCTTTGGGTCTTACTTACAAAAGAGAAGTAAATCAGTCCTTTCATAAGTTGAGGTGGTTTTGCTAAACGAAAACACTTATGTCAGCTCTATCATTTTTTCCCATCACCAGTACTACAGCTCTTCTGTTCTAAACGAAAAACAAATAAAGGTTTTAGCATGTTATACCCCACAATAAATAAACTAAGACTGTATTAGAGATTATTGTCAATATTCAATAAATGAAGCCTCACTACAGCATTTGATCCATTATGCATTAGTGAACTAAGATGACCATTAAGATTTCAATTAAGGAAAATAAGCAAGTATTTTTGGTTTTACCATTTCAATTTTAATACAATTAAAAAAAAAAGGTAAATGTTATGCATGGCAATGTTTATTAAACAATCACATTTCATTTAAGCATTAAAATGCAGCAATCTGGAAAAGCTGCCAGAAACAATGTTTGGCTTCAGAAAAGGCGATTATGAAATTACTTTCAATAAAATTCAAATACTCTCTTGTCTGTTGATTAGTTGAATGCTTTAGACTGGAAGGAACAAAAAGTGCAAATCAGCTGAATGTTACTGTCAAAAGTAAAGTCTTAGTGTCCTACAAGCAGTTACTGAAAGGCCTCACCTCAATCTTCATGATAAAGGACGAAATTCTCCAATTTCTATACAATTATAATTTACTGTAACATTTCAAACAATGTAACATTATTACTAAAACAAAATTAATTTCAGAATATAACTGCAGTATTCTGCCTACCATGAGCACCTTTTTTTCCTTTTTTTTTTTTTAAATCTAATTTGCTTGACATGAGATGGCATGAGATACATTCTCACTGTAAAACTGGAAACTTACATGAAACAATACAGTTACAACCACTTACAGGAACATGTTCCAGCTTAAGGTAATTTATACCTAAGCATAATACTTTTACATGAAAAATCCAAGATTCATATTGTGGTATTCTGTTTCTGCTGATACACTTTCAGGAAAGTGACTCATCACAGAGTAGCTAAATGTTGACCTGCAGCTTAGCCTTTTGCAAAAAGATTGCCCTTTTGCGCATCATCTTTATTGGAGGACTTGTAAAGAAATGGACAAAAGTTAACAGGTAACATTTGACATATAGGCAGATTATAAGCATTTTTTTTTTTTTAATTCAACACAATGATTCAGTGGCAGTTTGAAATAAAAATGGAGTACCTTTCTGCCTCCTAAATCACTTGAGAATCACTTCATATACAGACATAGTGAAAAACAGTGTGATTATCATTTTATAAGGCTCTAAGAATACACTAGCAACTTTCAATTTGTTCTTGTAAAAATCTTTTAAAATATTGTGGAAACATGTTCTTATATGTGGGTACTGCTGCTTGAAACTGAACAGTTGGTTGACATCCAGACAACTATTACAATTTTCCAAAAGCAAAGCAGCTTATAAGCATAATAAACAAATGGTCATTTTGCTAAAATTTAGACCTAATTTACTA